TTGAGGTTTCTCATGACTATATTCCTTTGTTACGTACTTTCCATTCATCCATTTCACAGGTCTAAAATCTTTTAAAGGGAGATATACATGCAGTTACTTTGTACTGTTTTAAATAATGTTGCTTAATTTTTTAAAAAAAAATCAGCAACAACTAAGCTTAAACACAAATCTCTACTTCCATTGTTTTTAAACAGTTTCCAAGTGATATTTGCAACCATTTCTATCTAATGAATAAATAGTACTTTTTATACTTTATTTTTACTAGTATTGTGCTGGGGGTACCTTGTGACATTTACAAAGTTTCTATAATTGATCATAGTTAAATTCACCCATTCCATCATTTTTCTTCATCACTCCTCCCTTGGTTCCTGGAATTGTTTTAACATGTCTCATTTTTTCATTACATACATGTGTACCGAATATTTCCACCATATTCACCTCAACCTCCTAACATGAACAAAGAAGCAGAAGTTACAAGAAATTCATCCAGTCATAAAGCTCACTGATTACTTGGAAAAACGAGGATTAAGGACTAGTTTGTTAAATTGTAGAAAATCTACAGACAATCCTGGTGAAGTTATTTTTATGACTACAGTATAGTTAACTGGATGCAGAATCTTTTTTTGGTTCATTTGTTTCTTGTTTATTTTTTGCATCTGGTACTTTTGATGCTTGAGAGAAAAAAGTGCATGCCTAATTAGTGACTTACTTTAATGACTTAATGATTGTTAATATACTGAGGTGACATTGGAGATATAATCTCTTTCCATTTTGTCTTTCAGCCACATAAACATATATGTACATAAAACTTGTAAACTAAAAATAAATTAGACAAGTAAATTACATCATACATAAAGATATTTTTTATCAATGATTTTTTGTCATTAACTTCCTTTTTTTTTCCTCTTTCTCTATTTAGGAAAACCTACAACCTTAGCTGAGACAATGGGGAAAGCCAAAATTTGGCTCATTAGATCCTACTGGGATCTGGAATTTCCTCACCCAGCCTTACCAAATGTTGATTTTGTTGGAGGACTTCACTGTAAACCTGCCAAACCTCTGCCTAGGGTAAATATATTCCGCTTGTTAGTTCTATTTCACTTTATTTTCAATGAAAATGGTTCTAAGCCATTCATTCAGAGTTTTGCTTACAGTTAGAGAGATATGGGAAGTCAGATAAAGCATTGTCAATTATAAATGAATTTTTAAACCATCATAAGTTTTTGCATTTCATTATAATTAGAGAAAATATGGTAGACTTGGAGATGATCAGAACAGAGTCAGTCAAATCAAGGTCTTAATTATTCTGCACATTATTATCACTCTCATTCATTCAAAAATTTTAATGTTGTTAGCATACACCAGCAATCAGTGTTGGATATTCAGAGAAACAGCATAGACACTTTCTGTCTTAACACTCCTACCTTATAGTCCATCTGGAAAGATAGACTGTAATTTATTAATGATTGAGTAGAAATATTTTTGAAAAGAAGGGTTACAATGTTAAGAGACCATTTACCAAGAACCTAGATACCTTCCCAGAGTCATTGAAAGAAAATGAGATAAGAACATTTGCAGGAATTGGTCAAATGATGATAGTGAGAAAGATACAAGCAGAAAAAGCAAATAATAGTAATAACAATTCCCAAAAATTAAAGTTTACTTTACCAAAAAGAAGGATAATAAAGAGGCAGGCTAACTTTGCTAGAATTGAATTATCATTCAGAATCCCCAAATTAGAAAGAATTTCAAATATTAATACAGACATCAAAAAGTCAGAGAAAAAATTCCTTTTAAAAAAAGCCTTCAGAATGTAATCGCTCAGTTGTAATTGCTGTGGAATGGAAGCATTTAGGATGTTGTTATAAGAGGTCAGGGAATAGATTATGGAACGTAGACTATAATGTTCATATAGATGATGAGACCTACTCATATAACAAAAGTAAAAACCTTATATTGAGTTCTTTTAAAAAATTAGTATAATAACACTTTTACAAGGTGATACATTGTGATATTTATTGCAACATTTCCTTGCTCTCACTCTAGCATTTAAACCATTCCTTACTTGAGATATCAGAGTTTTACAACTTAGGGGGAAAAAGATGGCTTACTTTATTTGGACAGATGTTTGATGATTTATGTCAAGTTTATAAGTCACCTCAGTAAAGTTCCCTCAGCCAAATTCTCCTCTGTTATCATAACTGCCTTACTGAAGCATACAGAAAATCTATACCAAAGATGAACCCTAATAATTTATACCATTTATTTCTGAAAATAGGCATTAGGTTTGAATTACAAACGAATTCTGTCAGCATTTAGGATAATATCTCTTAAGAATGTATGTCCCTTATTATCTACTACCATCTGATATCATGTTTTAAGACACACACAAATTAGCTTTCTTTCCTGCTATAACATATTATCTTTTATGAGTTTCTTTTTCTCGACCTTGTTAATAGCAGCAATATAAAACTACAATCTTATTAAATGGTAAAAATCCAATATTCCTTTTGAAATGCAACTTTTTAAACTATATACAGTGTAATTATCATAAGACCAAAAACTGGGTAATGTTTATGTAAGTTATTAATATAAACTCCTTGTACTTGAAGATTCTCAATTCAACAAATTTCTAAAATCCACTAAAATGACTGTATCAGAGTTATTAGGAATGGGAAACTGAGAAAGAGGAGAAGGAAGACAAGGAAAACAAGGAATTTCAATATAATGGCAATAATTAGTAGTAATATCTGTTGTTATTAATTTACACAAACAAGATTTGAATCCAACTCAAATAATGTGAAGTCTGTCTTCTTCTATGTTAAATATATCTGTCTTGTTACAAATGACTTTCTTTTCCTTTAATTATCTAATGCTCATATGATTTCCATCGCTCCTAAAAAATGAGAAAGCTTAGAAATTGAATCAAGTCTTCACAATGTACCCTTTGGCTATATAAGATACTCAAAACCATACAAAGAAAAATAATAACGATGGGCAGAATCAATATTTGTAACAACTGTTAGTGAAAGGAAACATTGTCAGTAACTTAAATAGCTAGCATTAGGAATAATTATATAACATATATATCACATCATTAAATTCATTTCACTAAAGAATCCTTAATAATACTAAACAGGAAAAATAGGAAATTTAAAGGGAAACAAAGGGAAAAAGGAGGTAAATAGAATAAAACACATTGTATTGTAGGTGGAAAAATAATATAAATGAGAATTAGACTTTTCTGAACATATGTCCATAATATTAATTAACTACAGAGTTTTAGTTTTGCAAGAAGAAAATGGAACATTGTTGCACAGTAACATGAACATGGTTAGCACTGCTACATTTACACTTAAACAAGACTGTGCTGGTAAAATTCTGCCTTATGTGTATTTTGCCACTACGACTCCTCTAATAATTCCTGATAAGACTTGACTTTACCTCTGTAGATTTTATAGCCACCCTCTCACTAGTGTAAACTCTGCTATTGTTCTTTTGTGATGGAGAAAATTCTTTCTTCACAGGAAATGGAAGACTTTGTCCAGAGCTCTGGAGAAGATGGCATTGTGGTGTTTACCCTGGGATCAATGGTACCTAACATAACAGAAGAAAGGGCCAATTCTATTGCATCAGCCCTTGCACAGATTCCACAAAAGGTTAGGTAATGTAATTCAATAGTGGATAACTACTGAAGGAGTCACAAATTCTGGTAGGTCTGATTACGGTAAAATGTAAACTGTTTTGATAGTTCTAATTATCTTAGCTAGTTTAAAAACAAAGATAAATGTGGCAGATGATAAAATAGTACAGAAGGTGTTTTGATTGACAATAACTTTGACATGAATGTTGTCATGAGAAAGAAAAATAGTTAAGAATCAGTGTGAAAGTTTTTATTAACACAATATTGCTAGCAAGTGTACACAGAAATCATCAAATCTGCCCAGTCATTTCTTTCCTTGCAAGATTGTTTAAGGCCACTGAGTACACTAAAGATGTTTCAGAACAGAGTTACTTATTATTTAACAACTGTGCTATCACAATAACACTAAACAGTTACTGAAAAAGTTTGAAATGCATCATGTAGTTTAGACTTCTTGTGTTATCTTTACCTCATTATTTGGCTTAATTTTGGTATAGGTCAATTTAGAGTACAGGTAAGGGGGCTATTCCTAGAAAGGAAAACCAAGGCTAACCAGTGCTGAATGTGTCTATTCAGTCATGTAAATTAAGAAACAGAGAAAAACAGCTTGCCCTTTTGGATAAGGCCTTGCTGATATCTGAGCAGGAAGTGTAAATAGAAGGGTGGACTGAGCCCTGTCCCTAGAGTGAACCCTGGGCATTATGAAATATGACCCACAAGGACTTGGCTTCTGACCCATTAGATTAGATCTCCTCTCAGCTGAGGAAAAGAGAGGAAAATATGAAAGCCAAACAGAAATAAACCTGTCCTAGGAAGGCAGAACATTCTTCAAGTGCCCTACTTAAGAACTAAGTTCTATCATATAGTAGAGTACCTGATTAGCAAGCATTAGGCCCTGAGTTCAAACCCCAGTAATGGAAAAAAAAAAAAGAAAAAACAAGAATTTCGATTTTGTGTTGGCTGGAGCCGGAGTAACAAGGTGGCGGCGTGGGCGGAGTGACAGGGGTCCCTCCGGGCCGGAGCCGGCGGCAGTGGTGGCAGCGGTATCGCCACCCTAACTTCACTGCGCCCCTTTTCCAGGCCGCGACGTCGCCGCGAAAGCGAGACGGCGACGGCCGCCCAGAAACAAGTGGCCGAGCCTAAGTAAACCGCGACCACCCTTCACGAACTGCGGCCTGGGAAAAAAGAAGCCTGACAGCCCCCGGTGACCCGGTTCCTTGGCCGATTCTGGGCCCTGTAGCGCCGGGGAACATCTCCGTATTCCGCCTCCTGCCGCCCCCGGTGAACGAGCCCCGCAGGCCTCGCTCCCGCTTAGAGGTGTCGGGCTCGGCCCCAGCCTCCATCTTCGCGTCTCAGGATGGCGAGCTGCAGCGGCTCCAAGGCCGAATTCATTGTCGGAGGAAAATACAAACTGGCGCGGAAGATCGGGTCTGGCTCTTTCGGGGACCTGGCGATTAACATCACCAACGGCGAGGAAGTGGCAGTGAAGCTAGACTCTCGGAAGGCCAGGCATCCCCAGTTGCTGTACGAGAGCAACTCTCTAAGATTCTTCAAGGTGGGGTTGGCATCCCCCACATCCGGTGGTATGGTCAGGAAAAAGACTATAACGTGCTAGTCATGGATCTTCTGGGACCCAGCCTTGAAGACCTCTTCAACTTCTGTTCAAGAAGGTTTCACAATGAAAACTGTACTTATGCTAGCTGACCAGATGATCAGTAGAATTGAATATGTGCATACAAAGAATTTTATACACAGAGACATTAAGCCAGATAACTTCCTAATGGGTATTGGGCGTCACTGTAATAAGTTATTCCTTATTGATTTTGGTTTGGCCAAAAAGTACAGAGACAACAGGACAAGGCAACACATACCATACAGAGAAGATAAAAACCTCACTGGCACTGCGCGGTATGCTAGCATCAATGCACACCTTGGTATTGAGCAGAGTCACCGAGACGACATGGAATCATTAGGGTATGTTTTGATGTATTTTAATAGAACAGCCCCCCCCCCCCCCCCCCCCCCCCCCCCCCCCCCCCCCCCCCTCCCCCCCCCCCCCCCCCCCCCCCCCCCCCCCCCCCCCCCCCCCCCCCCCCCCCCCCCCCCCCCCCCCCCCCCCCCCCCCCCCCCCCCCCCCCCCCCCCCCCCCCCCCCCCCCCCCCCCCCCCCCCCCCCCCCCCCCCCCCCCCCCCCCCCCCCCCCCCCCCCCCCCCCCCCCCCCCCCCCCCCCCCCCCCCCCCCCCCCCCCCCCCCCCCCCCCCCCCCCCCCCCCCCCCCCCCCCCCCCCCCCCCCCCCCCCCCCCCCCCCCCCCCCCCCCCCCCCCCCCCCCCCCCCCCCCCCCCCCCCCCCCCCCCCCCCCCCCCCCCCCCCCCCCCCCCCCCCCCCCCCCCCCCCCCCCCCCCCCCCCCCCCCCCCCCCCCCCCCCCCCCCCCCCCCCCCCCCCCCCCCCCCCCCCCCCCCCCCCCCCCCCCCCCCCCCCCCCCCCCCCCCCCCCCCCCCCCCCCCCCCCCCCCCCCCCCCCCCCCCCCCCCCCCCCCCCCCCCCCCCCCCCCCCCCCCCCCCCCCCCCCCCCCCCCCCCCCCCCCCCCCCCCCCCCCCCCCCCCCCCCCCCCCCCCCCCCCCCCCCCCCCCCCCCCCCCCCCCCCCCCCCCCCCCCCCCCCCCCCCCCCCCCCCCCCCCCCCGCCCCCCCCCCCCCCCCCCCCCCCCCCCCCCCCCCCCCCCCCCCCCCCCCCCCCCCCCCCCCCCCCCCCCCCCCCCCCCCCCCCCCCCCCCCCCCCCCCCCCCCCCCCCCCCCCCCCCCCCCCCCCCCCCCCCCCCCCCCCCCCCCCCCCCCCCCCCCCCCCCCCCCCCCCCCCCCCCCCCCCCCCCCCCCCCCCCCCCCCCCCCCCCCCCCCCCCCCCCCCCCCCCCCCCCCCCCCCCCCCCCCCCCCCCCCCCCCCCCCCCCCCCCCCCCCCCCCCCCCCCCCCCCCCCCCCCCCCCCCCCCCCCCCCCCCCCCCCCCCCCCCCCCCCCCCCCCCCCCCCCCCCCCCCCCCCCCCCCCCCCCCCCCCCCCCCCCCCCCCCCCCCCCCCCCCCCCCCCCCCCCCCCCCCCCCCCCCCCCCCCCCCCCCCCCCCCCCCCCCCCCCCCCCCCCCCCCCCCCCCCCCCCCCCCCCCCCCCCCCCCCCCCCCCCCCCCCCCCCCCCCCCCCCCCCCCCCCCCCCCCCCCCCCCCCCCCCCCCCCCCCCCCCCCCCCCCCCCCCCCCCCCCCCCCCCCCCCCCCCCCCCCCCCCCCCCCCCCCCCCCCCCCCCCCCCCCCCCCCCCCCCCCCCCCCCCCCCCCCCCCCCCCCCCCCCCCCCCCCCCCCCCCCCCCCCCCCCCCCCCCCCCCCCCCCCCCCCCCCCCCCCCCCCCCCCCCCCCCCCCCCCCCCCCCCCCCCCCCCCCCCCCCCCCCCCCCCCCCCCCCCCCCCCCCCCCCCCCCCCCCCCCCCCCCCCCCCTCCCCCCCCCCCCCCCCCCCCCCCCCCCCCCCCCCCCCCCCCCCCCCCCCCCCCCCCCCCCCCCCCCCCCCCCCCCCCCCCCCACCCCCCCCCCCCCCCCCCCCCCCCCCCCCCCCCCCCCCCCCCCCCCCCCCCCCCCCCCCCCCCCCCCCCCCCCCCCCCCCCCCCTCCCCCCCCCCCCCCCCCCCCCCCCCCCCCCCCCCCCCCCCCCCCCCCCCTGGCCAT